AGAGAGAGAGAGAGAGAGAGACACAGAGAGAGAGAGAGAGAGAGAGAGAGAGAGAGAATGATCGAGAGAGAAAGAGAGAGAGAGAGAGAGAGACACAGAGACAGAGAGAGAGAGAGAGAGAGAGAGACACAGAGAGAGAGAGAGAGAGAGAGAGAGCGAGAGAGAGAGAGAGGAGAAATGCCATTTATAGATCATAAATAATGATGTACTCGGTGAGTCTGAGTGCATTCAGCCATTAAAATAATAACACATATAGCAGCTCCAGCTGAGCACCATCAATCACAGCAAATCCTAGCAATCGATACGACTGGATATTGATCAGACTCGTCGTGAGAATCGCATATAAATGATCGTGCTCATTATTAGGCCTTCGCAGAAGCATTCTATGACCAATCCTCAAGATGTGCAACAACATCAACAGTGTTATTGGTAACGCATTACAAGTAACGCGAGTTACGTAATCAGATTACTTTTTTCAAGTAACTAGTAAAGTAACGCACTACTTTTTAATTTACAAGAGAATATCTGAGTTACTTTTTCAAATAAGTAACGCAAGTTACTTTTTTTTCCAATTTATTGATTGACAGCTCTGGTGTTGCCATGTTGAGAGAAATCAGGAGATGTTACTGTAGTTCTAAACTAAATATGAATATGCATTTATTCATCTCACTCACAAAAAACAACACAGATTCAGTATTCCTCCTTTCCATAAAAAGTAACTAAGTAACGTAATGAGTTACTTTTTTATGGAGTAGCGCAACATTGTAATGCATTACTTTTAAAAGTAACTTTCCCCAACACTGAACATCAATCACACGCCAAGCCTGCGATCTCCGGAAGTCAAACGCATAATAACACAGATTACTATAAAGCACATATACAGAACATAATAACAGTGCTTCGATATCCAGCATCCGTTCCGAGCAATAATATCTCAGTTATGAATATCGGACTGCCGTCTCATATAGATGATATGTATTCTATAGGAGAATATAGAATCTATTTGCTAGATTAAAGCACCGCTCGGGTTCGATACGGCTTAAGCTCTATTGACAGCGTTTGTAGCAAATTGTCGATCATCAGAAAATAACTTGTTCCTCGGTTTATTAAAAAAAAAAAACGCAACAATCAGGCACTTAAGAGTGGAATTACACCAGCAAACGACCAGCCAATTAGTGAGGTTAACTAGGTTTAGATTTGTCTTATTTATTTTGTTTTGATTTTTTTTGCACATTTGATTTAATTAGTGTTCTGTGCTGATTCTGCTGTTAACTTGAAAAGCAAAACCCTATTTGGGTTCCTATCTTCTGTTGTTTAATGAAAGTTTATTGCATTATTTAAGTGTTTTCTGTATATTCTGTATATTCTTCTGTATATTAGGATATACTGCTTGTAAATTACAGTTTTATACTGTAAAATTTACAGGTTGTTCTGTAAATATGTTTACATTTTTATTGTATTTTTAAAATAATTATTCTGACAACCACAGCTGACAGGATTGTTTTTTTTTCCGCAATACGTTTGAAAGATATAAAATAAATGAATAGGCAAGGTAATTGCATTTCTTTGATATTTTACCACAATATTTTGAAATGAAATCTGAGAGAATTAGCTCGAGCCAACGCTTCAATAACTTCATAAAATGTCAGTAAACATAATCCATATAAAAATCAAGCGGTTTAATCCTAGACTTCTGAAGACACACGGCCACTTTATATAAGGATTATTAAATTAAATAGATTTAATTTAGGTTTTTAGGCATTACAACATAAAGAAAACAATTCCAATTATTACTGAATAATCCATGCTATAACAAAATATGAAATTCTGTGAGTTACTGTAAGTGGGATTTTTCCTTGAAAAAATTAAATAAGTGAAAAGGTCAAAATTATTTTTTGACTGCAAATGCTGCTGATCTTTTCAATTATTATTATTATTATTATTTCATGTTTTTGAAAGAAGATTTGTTTGTGTGTGTTTGAAACAAGTCCTTTCTGATCAACAGGACTGCATTTATTAGATCGAAAATACAGTAAAAACTGTGAAATATTATTACAATTTAAAACAGCTGTTTTCTATGTGAATATGTGTTAAACTGTAATGTATTTCTGTGATGCGCAGCTGTATTTTCAGCATCATTACTCCAGTCTTCAGTGTCACATGATCTTCAGAAATCATTCTAATATGCTGATATTTTTGTGGAAACTGATGCACTACTATTAAAAGTTTGAGATACGTAAGATTTAAAAAAGAACAGTTTCCGCTAGGGCTGCACGATAAATCGCATGCGATATTTAACGC